GAGATGGTTTTGCAGCTCTGAAGCCACCAGATGTTTGATTCAGTGGCTGCTCACCTTACAGCCTTAGAGGGAGCAGAGGGTAGAGTGGAGGTCTATTCTGTGAATCCATAACTAGGAATCTGTCACTGGCGCACATGTCTTCCCATGTTGCAATAGGAGGAGCTGCTCACAGCAAGGCATCCCCAAGGGAGCAATAGAAACTAGCTTGGATAATGAGAAGCACTTGGATCAATCCTTGTGGGAAAAAGATCAGCAACTTTTGGCAAAGAGTGGATGAGCAATTTGGGGTCTGTTTTAAACTGGACAGGCCTCCTAAATTTCTTCTGTTGCTGTGGCTAATCAAGACTGAGAAACAAAAAGCAATCTGGCAACTTCTCCAAGCAAGATTGAATAATGGAGTTCAAACTAGGGCAGTCAGGGTGGTTTTGGGGAACAGTTCACCTCAACCTGAGAAGAAGGATAGAAGGGAGAGCAGCTTCTCTGGTCCCATGCAGAAGACACCCTTGGAAAGTGCCCAGACTTCGGTTGAAGACGGTATCCCTGAATAAGTTCTCAGATTGATCCCTAGGGGTGATATTGGTCACACCATACAGCCTGAGTGAGAGAGTGTCACTCCCAGGATGTCCTGAGCTTTGGAGTATGTGGCATGTGTGCTTTATCTGTGGCAACAACCATCATTTTATCCAGTTAAACAAGGGGACATGATCTTGTGAAGACCACTGAGGGCAGACTCTGGTGGAAGAGGCTGGGGGAAGGATGTACTCAGATGTTAATGATGCAGGGCAAGCTGACAAGGCTGAGATACTTCCACTTTAAACCCTCCATGTCACCAGAGAAGAAGAAAAGAGAATCTGGAATAAATGAGGGAATGGATTGAGTGTGAGGAGGGACTCACAGGTCACAAGCAATATTGTAATTCAGTTGTTCTGCATATTTCTGAAAGGGAGTTATAAAATTTATTTGTTGGCTCCAGAAAAGCTGTAATAAGACTGAAAGATTTTATTGCATCAAATTCAAAGCACAGGTTGGTGACTTTTCATGAGAAGTGCATTTGGAGCATTGCAAACTTCTTATACTACCTCATCCAGAAAATCCATCTCTAACTCTCCATTTCTCAAGGATTTAAGAGTTCATTTCTTTTGACTACATAAGAGCCGAGAGGGCCATTAGGACACTCAAATTTACAGGGTGGGGGGCGGTGGTTTACACTTATTAGACACATACAAATAGATATGAGTGGTTAAAAATACAGTAATACCTCTTTATCTGTGGGGGATATATGTTCCAAGCCCTGAAAATTTCTGAAACCAAAGATAATACTGAATCCTATGTGTACTATATATTTTTCTGTATGTCCTACAGCATTATCACATAGTATCAGAGTTAACTTGTCCTCCCATGCCTCTTTTACAGTCACTACTCTTGAATTTTGGGTACCTTATTAAGTGAAAGAAGGGTTATTTGAATACAAGCATTGCAAAATCACAGTTGAGAAGACCACTAAGTGATTAATGGGAACATGGCATATACAACATGGATACTCTGTACAAAGTCATGATTCATATCCCATGCAGGATGGAACAGGACAGGGTGAGACTTCATCATACTTTGAAAACTTATGAATGGTTTATTTCTGTATCTTTTCACATAATATTTTCAGACTGCTGTTAACTCTGGATAACTGAAACTTCAGCAAACAAAACTGAAGATAAGGGGGAACAACTGTCAGCCTCATCTAAGTACTGAAAGCTATTGGTCAAACTTTTGGGCAGTGGTAGCAGATGACTTATTAATATTGTAACAATTTATTGTAATAAGGAAATATTGTTGTAAAGAATATGCTGCCAGAAATTATGTTCCCAGTCTTAGGACCATGAATTACACCAAAGTACCTAAAGATCTGAGGGTAAATTATTAGGTGAAAAGAAGCATTTGGAATCCATTCCCCTCCTTTCTTCTTCCTCCTAGCTCCTGTGCCATCTGTGAATGGCTTTCAGTAGAAATACAAGTAAGTGTGTGTGTGTGTGTGTGTGTGTGTGTGTGTATGTGTGTGTGTGTGTGTGTGTTTGTGGGGATCAGACAATCAGGGTCTCACACATACTAAGCAAGTGCTCGCTGGGCCACTATC